ACAACTCAAAGGCATCAATTCTTCTATGATCTTCCTTATTCACTGTCCAGCTTTTGCGTCCATATGAGGCTATTGAAAACACAATAGCCTGGGTCAGGCGCACCTTAGTCCTCAAGCTGACATCTCTGTTCTTCAATACTTTAAAAAGTTCCTGTGCAGCAGATTTGCCCAGTGCAATACGTCGTCTGAATTAATTCATAGGCTATTGATATATATGTATTCCATTTCATTTTTTACGATTTCTAATTTTCCTAGATTCATATGTCTTACATTCTATGTTCTGATTATTAATGGATTTTACTAGATGTTTCTCCTCATTTTGAGTTGTGCTCCATTAGCAAATGAAGGTCCTGAAAGCCTTCCTCCATTTGTGTCATCATGGTCAACTCAACTTTGAGGGGGTAGCTCTGCCCCAGTAATATTTTGAGTGCCTTCCAATCTGAGGGGCTCATCTTCCAATACAATATTCTGGTGCTCTTCATCATGTTTTCATCTTCTGGCACTATATCTGACAATATTCCACCAGTATTCATAAGATTTTCAGTGGCTAAACATTCAGAAGTAATCTGCCTCTTCTCCTTCCTAGTCTATCTTCCTCTGGAAGCTCAACTGAAACCTGTCCACCATGGGTGACCCTGCTGGTATTTAAAATCCCAGTGACATGACAATAATACCCAAACTTTCAGATAGTACCCATTTGACCTAGCCTCGATGGCTTGATAATCAGAACTCGATTAGAGGAAGATCAAAAAAACAAAACAATTTTTGATAAAGGAAGCAAGTGTAAATTGCTATAATTTGATGAACTTGACCTATATTTATGGATATAATAGCTCAAAATACCAACTGAGAGGGAAGGAGTCTTTACATCAAGTATCAATCCTATCTTCTCTCTATACAGGTTAGATAGGGATGGGCAACTTAGGCATTGGCTACTTAAAATGAGGGGGCGATAAAGGCACAAAGTGACTGGCTTACACATTTTCATGAGGGAGTTTAGTTTCAGAGTGTGCGGAGGAAGGTAGAGTCCCCACTGAATAGTTTTCATCTTGTCTAGATGGGTTTTGTAAAAAAAGATGGGGTAAGATTCTTATGATTCAATAGTGAGTAATTGTTATCATGACTAATTGTGACTGTCACAATTGTAAAGGTAGAAGTTTTGTAACAAAAACGGGGGAGTAGTTAATCTTACAGTACAGAAACAAAGGACCTTAGGACCATCAAGGGAGAAGAGCACAAGCAGAATACAAGACCTTATCCAGAGAAGCAGCGACACCAGAGATGGAAGCAGAGATGGGACATGGAGAGAGGGAGCAGCTGAGGACTTTAGATTCATGGAAAGAGAGGGATTGGGTGCCGGTGGCCAGGAGGCAGACTTGCAGAATGTGCCCTTTGGTGGTTTAAATTATTATATATTTCTGAGTATTTCTGTGTACATCCACCCCCCCAAAAACAAACAAACAAACAAAACAGGGAATGGAAGCAAATACCATTGAATGATGAAGCACAGAGGGCACTGTAATCATTGCAGTGAAACGATGGCGTAAAGCCAATGTTCTCCATGTAAGCTATCACTCAGTTCACAATAAAAAGTTGCAATATACATGTATACCAATGGCATAGCTTTCAGAATTACAGCAACACTCAAGCCACCTCAGAACAACAAACTGACAGGTGCATGGTGGATGCAAATGGATATGGGGAAGACAGCCAGCAGTGTCCTAGAAATTGTGGACTGTTTGGTTCCATGCTTATACTTAAAAAAATACCCCCACAAAACAAATTGTCATCAAGTTAACTCTGATTCCTTGTAACCTCATTTGTGTCAGAGTAAAACTGAATTCTGTAGGATTTCCAGTGGCTGATTTTTCAGTAGATCACCAGTCCTTTCTTCCAACACATTTGTGGATGGACTTGAGTCTCTACGTTTTTGGTTAATCACCTAGTGCTTAACCATTTGCACCCCCCAGGGAGTCATAGAATCAACTTTATAAGTTCCTGGGGGTAGGACTGAACAGTGCACGGTGGGGGGTTTATCAGGGGATGGGTGGGCAGATACCTTCCAGTCTAAAGGTAAAGGTCTTGCTGGGAAGTCACAGGTTAAAAAGGTTGAAATAATTGATTGGGGTTAAATCTGAGACCAGGAAAATCACAGTAATTATTTCCACTTTATTTTTTTTTTTGAAATAATGAAAGTTTTATGTTATAATAATGTTTACTGAGTTCTGAAGTCCCTTCCTATTCAATTTTAACAATTGCCATTTATCAAATGTTTACTATGAGCTCAACAATTCTGATGAACATTCTATATGCACTGTTATATGAATTTACTTCTCATTAAAAGCCTGAAGGAAGATGAAGCATTGCTAATATTGCAGATGAGGAAACAATTTAAGAGATATTAAGTAATATTCCATAAATCTAATAAGCATACCAAACAGACAGATGGGTAGTGGGTACCTAGTAGTATCATATCGCCCAAGTGGTAGCCCCTCAAATTTGGCAGATGACAACATATTTATCGCATCCTTTTCTTGTGAACTTAGAAGGATTTCTTATATTGATTTAATTTCCAGGAATTACATTGATGAAGATTACATCACAGTTCAGAACATGTTTGGTATGTGGTCCTGGCTGCCTCCTCTGTTAGGTGGGAGGGAAGTATCTCAGCTGCCTGCAGGCATGTGGGGCTGGACCAGATGGTATCTTGAAGTTTGAAAACCCAAAGCTGTCAAGTTTATTCTAACTCATAGCAACCCTAAGGACATAGTAGAACTGCCTGGTAGGGTTTCCAAGGCTGTAAATCTTTATGGAAACAGATCACCACATCTTTTGTTCTCAGAGTGACTGGTGGGTTTGAACTGTTGACCTTTCAGTTAGCAGCAAGTGCCTTAATCATGGCACCACCAGGACTCCTATCCTGACCCTTAGTCTACTTCCAAGTTCTGTGATTCTGTATGTCTGAATTAAATGAATTTAAGGAATGAACTTGAATCATTAGCTGGGAAAACAATGTAAACTACTTATACTTCAAATGAGCATTTTAAAAAAATCACTTATTTATTTGACAAGTTGCTCATTGATGCTATGATACTGAAAGCTATGGCATGTGGTATTTCAAATGCCAACTGTATCACCATGATGGACAGCTTTCCGTGAAGCCTTCAGACTAAGGCAGAGTAGGAAGAAAGGCCTGGTGATCTACTTCCAAAAATCAGTTGATTAAAGCCCTGTGGAGCACACTGAAACATTGTCCAATGCAATTATGGAAAATAAGCACTCCAGATTGGAAGGATCATGAAGATCGTGCAGAACTGGATAATATTTTATTTTGTTATTCATAAGGTTTCCTGAGTTGGAGCCTATTTGACAGCAAATAAGAGCAACAATAATAACAGCAACACATGAAGGATACCACACTAGGATCTTAATTTAGGGCAACCATAGAGTACTCAATATGGTAGGGGAAACAGGACACATTAAAAAAACCATAAATATAATATATGCCAAAGTGGATATTGAACTCTAACCTTAACGAAGTAATTTACTCCAGCAACCACTTGCGTTTTATATATTACAGCTTCAAATTTTTCGTAAGTCTCATTGGTTTGTTCTTCAACTTGTGGCTTAACCTTAAGAAAAGAGGAAAGAAATGATCAAAGCGCTATATTGGACTCCTTTCTGTGATTTACAGACCTGGGAACATCATGTTTCTAAATGTCCTCGAAGATAGTAAGCCAATAAAATTGAATGGGCTAACTAAATGTCAGAATTTGTTACTTTGGGCTGAATTAATAGCACCTCAGCAACGTAAGGAGTCCTGGTGTGGCTCTGTGGGTTAATGCGACAGATTGCAAAGCTGTTTGAACCGCAAGGTTGGTGGTTCAAGCTCACCAGTCGCCTCTTGGATACCCTATCCAGGGTCGCTATGGGTCAGAACCGACTCGATAGCACTTAACAACAACAACAGCAATTTAATATGGTAAGGTTTTGACTGGTAAAGTGCCTTTGATTATTAAAATTTTTAAAAGTTTTTGAAATAATCTCAGTCATAACAAAATTGTAAACATACTATACTCAGTTCCCTTACACTAGTCAGACAGTTGCCACTAATGTTAACATCATACATAACCATAGTACATTGAGCAAAACCAGGAAATTATCATGGTATAATACTGTTAGGAAGGAGCTCTGGTATCGTAGTGGTTACGAATTGGTCTGTGAACCACAAGGGTCAGCAGCTTGAAGCTATCAGCTATTTCACGGGAGAAAGATGATGCTTTCTGCTCCTGTAAAGATTTACAGCCTTGGAAACCTTGTACAAAATTGTAAACATAGTATACCAACTCCATGGCACACAGCCACCACCACCATCAATACTATTAGGTAATCTATAGATCTCATTTTAAATTTTGCCAAATGTCCCTTTTCTGGTCCAGAATCCCATCTTGTTGTTTGGTTAGGTGCCATCTTGTTGATTTCTACTCATAGTGACAGAATAGAGCTGCCCCATAGGGTTTCATGGCTGTAATCTTTAAGGAGCATTAGGTTTAATTGTTAGTTCTCCTTCCAGCTGGGTTCACTCCTCAGTCTCCCTTCTTTGTAATTCATGGCCTTGACACTCTTGAAGAGAAGCCCATTGCCATCAGCTCAGAGTGGCTACTTAATTTGTAAAATCTCCTTCAGTTTGGGTTTGTCTGTTCCTTTCTTATGATAGCTTGAGGTTATACATTTTTGGTAAGAAAATCAAAAGGCACGCTGTGCTCTTACTTAGCACACCCTATGAAGCTCACAATTTCTTGACTGACAATGTTAATTTTAACCCCTTCTGCTTGGTTTCTTCATGGCCACGTTACTATTTTTCCCTTCTGGGGGCGCTAGTGATAGTTGCTATGCAACCATGCTGTTTCTCTTCATACTTCCATGTATTTGTCATCAAACTTCCATTAGTGATTCTCTCCCACACCAACTATTACAGTGGTAATAATGACCAAATGGTAATTTTCTGTTTCTGTCATTTCTTCTGCATTTATTAATTGTGATTCTACTGTAACAAAGAGCTTTTCTTTCTTCCTTATTTAATTTATTTCTTCATATTATTATGATTTATGGATATTTTTTGTATTTTGGTTGGGGGGTGGATTTGGACGACAAGGTCAGCAGTTCAAACTCACCAGTTGCTCCGTGGGAACCCTATACAGGTCACTATGAGTCAGAACCGACTTGACAGCACTTGACAACAACAACAATAATTGATTTATTTTGTTGCTCAAATTGCCTTACATTAGCTGTTGGGAGCTCCTTCCAGTTGATTCCTGTGTCCTTTCAACATGCTGCCAACATTTTATGAGAATGTTTTCACTTTCTGACCCTTTGATGTGTTCCTGGTGTGGCACTGTGGGTTAATGCGCCAGACTGCAAAGTTGTTTGAACTGCAAGATCGGTGATTTAAGCTCACCAGCTGCTTCTCAGAAACCCTATATAGGGTCACTAAGGGTTGGAACAGACTCAACAGCACTTAACATCATTTTAGGATCATCTTGAATTTTTCCTGCTTCAGCCCTAGAGTCAACCATTTCTTCGATCAGCCTGATTCTTTTATTGGAGAACGGTATTGAGGTTCCAAGATGTGTGTACTATGTATGCATATTGTTACTGAGTGTTATAGCCTTCTAAGTGGCAAGAGTTACAAAATATATGTACATACATTACTAACATACAGTAGTCTTGCTGTGGAGCTGTAGGATAAGGTATGTCTGAATTGAAAGGTTGGTAGTTCAAACCTATCAGCCGCTCCTCATAAATCCTATGGCCTTGTTTTGGCTGATGATATGGTACATTTTCACGTTCTCATTCCACAGATGTAGTCAATTTGACTTCTGTGTATTCCATCTGGTGAGGTCCATGTGTATAGTTGTCTCTTATGCTGTTTAAAAAAGATATTTGAAATGAAGAAATCACTGATTTTGCAAAATTCTTTCCTGAGATCTCCGGCATCATTTCTACTACCAAGTCAAAATTGACTCGACAACACATATGAACAAGTGCTGTCGAGTCGGTTCTGACTCATAGTGGTCCTGTATAGGGTTTCTGAGGAACAATTGGTGGGTTTGAACTGCAGTCCAGTGCTTATCCTACAGCGCCACACCAGGATTGAAAAACTCTCTATGGAGCACAATTCTACTCAGATACATAAAAGTTCATTATGTATTGGAGTCTACTGGACAGCAACTGAAGTATACCAACGACAACAACCCATATTTCTGTGAAAAACCAATTTATTAAGTGGAGTACACTATTTATGTACATTTCTATTTGTCTTTAACCTTACCTTGTATGTAGGCAAGATACTGTATTTCAAAGTTATTTAGGTGAGTTATCCCTCCCCACTTCTGTGTAGCAATGTTACTCATTTGTAAGACATTTCATTTGTTATGGTTCATTTGTTGCAGCTTGTACTCCATTTTGGTTTCCCTTACATTCTCACTGACTTTAATTAACTATTTATATTTTCAGCATGTGAAGCATACTGAAAACATAAATAGTTAATACTGAAAATATAAATAGATAGTTCTAAGAGTCAGAACTATCCAAAAAGTTATCTTTCGAGACCTGTCACTCTCTCCTTCATCTCTTCTACCTAGTTGCTCACCTTCTGAGATAATCAATTGCATTCATTTTCTATTTTATTTTGTTTTAAATAATATTTTCCTGACTTTTTGGTGAAAGTTTACACAGAAAGTCACTGTACCCACAGGAAACTCCTCAGATAGCTACAGCCTGTCGAATATAGCTTCCAAGGTTATGCAAGTGACAGGTAATTTCCCAGAACCATTGCTTTTCAAAGGACTTACATCTATTTCAAATCCTGTGCTTCCTCCAAAAAAAAAAAAATACCTAAGGAATTTATAATGAAATACAAACGTGGAGAGATAAATCCTGTCTGCCTTGCACCAGTTTGCGTAAATGCAATGGGTTCATCTTGACCTTGAGGGAATGGTAACAACAGGTAATGTTATGGGACAATATTTTGTTTTTTGTGCTGTGCTGGATGGTATTCAATACAAGACTGGACTGGGACAAAATAAAAAGGAGTCTCAATCCAATGCAGCAGAAATAGCTCTTGATGAACTTCTACCATTAGATAAACCTGAACCAGGTAATTTAGAAGCATCATTTCAAAAGTACATTATGATTCCTAGAAGAGGAATTACTGGATCAAAGCATATGGACCTTGTTCTCCATTGTTTAAAAACTTTTGATACTTACTGCTAAATTGCCCTCCCACTAGAGTTTTACCATATAAACTATTTCTATCACTTGTGTGAGAATTGCCTCTTTTATTGTACTTGTCAGCTTTTTGTAATTAATGATAATCTGTGCTAAGCTTCTTATAGGGGATAAGTAAGACTTTATTTTTAAAGCTTGAATTTTGAATATTTATTGATGCTTTATTGTTCTCAATGAATGTATAGTTCTTATTGGCTTTTACTAGTATTCTTGAATAAAAGGTGCAGCAATTGGAAAAAAAAAAAAATCTCCACACAAAATTTTCAGTGATATTAGCTATACAATGTGTCAACATAAAAAAAAATTGTGTTCTGTTTTCTATTTCCGGTACCATATATATATATATACATATATAGGAGCTCTGGTAGCATAGTGGTTATGAATCGGGCTTCGAACCTCAAGGTCAGCAGTTCGAAACTACCAGCTGTTCCACAGGAAAAAGATGAGGCTTTCTGCTCCCGTAAAAATTTACAGCCTCAGAAACCATGTACAGGGTCGCTATGTGTTAGAACCAACTCCACGGCACATAACAACCACAACAACAATATATATATATATATATATATATTTTTTTTTTTTGAAAATAATATGTATGCTATATGGTTTCTGCAAGCAGAACAACAGCCCTGTGCATTCGTTTTCCATGCTGGCTATGCATGTCATATGCAGAAGTTAATACTGTACTCAGTTTCCCTGCCTTGTCTCATGTTTGCTTTTGAGTAATTATTAACCCTTTGGTCTCATAAGATGGCTGTCTAAGAGCACCAATCTTTTAAGTTATCCTTTATTTGTGTATGTACCACTCTGCTATTTTGCTAAAGGTAATCTCAGGGATATGCTGGGGTCTAGGTTTAATTGAAACAAAGAGGAAAGATCAGTAGTTGGAATATATGGCCTTGGTGATAGAAATGATGCTGAAGATCTCATAAAAGAATTATGCAAAATCAGTGATTTATTCATTTAAAATACCTTTTTTAAACAGCATAAGAGACTATACACATGGACCTCACCAGATGGAATACACAGAAGACAAATTGACTACATCTGTGGAAAGAGAAAGTGGAAAAGTGCCATATCATCAGCCAAAACAAGGCCAGGGGCAGATTGTGGAACAGACCATCAATTGCTCATATGCAAATTCAGACTGAAGCTGAAGAAAGTGAAAACAAATACACAAGAGCCAAAATATGACCTTGAATATATCCCACCTGACTTTAGAGATCATCTGAAGAACAGATTTGATACATTAGACACTGAATACAGAAGACCAGAAGAGTTGTAGGATGACATCAAAAACATCATACAGGAAGAAAGCAAAAGGTCATTAAGAAGACAAGACAAA